TCATGCTCATTTACGCGATTTGGCTTCTACAACTCAAACTTTAGCGAGATTATATTCTGTTTTTATTGGTGAGTTTAAATTAAAAATTATTACAATAATTATTTTTTAATTTCTATATGAAGGATATGTATTTTTTTACAGGGGATCAATCAGCTATAGATCAATCTTTGGCAGAAGAGGTTGTTTCGCAAACATTAGATGCATGTATTTTTGCAAGAGATAATCAACTTTATAAAGCAGCATTACAACCAGCCACCATAGTACTAGATCTTATTGAAGTGTAAGTATAATTTTTATGTTAAAATTTTGGAAAAAATAACATACTTTCCTATATATAATTGATAGCTTTATTCTATTAGGCATTCACAACTGTTAGCTTCACTTCAGGCATGGTGTCACTGGATAGCAAAAAGGCCAGAAAAAACTAAAGAAACGTTATGTCAACGTTGTGTTAATTCGTGTGTTTGGTCATTAACATATACTACTACATCTTGTGATTTACCACCACCTTTTAATCTCGTTCATTCTGCAACCCATCTCTTTCAAAGTATTACTGCCATTCTAAGACCTATACTATGGGATCATACTACTTTCAGAAATTTAATTTCTATGAGAACATATCCATCTTTAAAACCTGACACCATAAAAGTATTGCGACGAGCATTAATTAATGGTATTATTTTACCAACTGGAGATGGAGCTATAAGAGAAAGGCTGATTGGTAAGCTCACATATCTTTTACAAAAATATATATATTATATTAGATAATTACAAATTTTATTTCAATAGGCACAATGATAGGATCTTTGTCAGAGCCTCTAGGTGCACAAGGCCAATCTGTACCTTCTGATTCAACAATATTAATAACTATACCATCATTAACTCAATTATTAGAAGATTGTTCTTCTTCATCAACTACTATCAAAAAGATGTTGCATTCTAACTTAAAACCTAGTATCGATCGATCATTAGAACTTTTACCATATTTGATAAGATATCATAATATATGCGAAGTGGTACTTAATTTTCTACATTCAGTATTTTTAGTGTTGCAACAACAACTAGGTCCCGAATTTACACAAACTGCAGTACAAGGAATGTTACAGATTTATACCAGGTATATTTATATGATTTATTTTAATTTCAATAAAATTATGAAAATTAATGCACACAAGCGCGCGCACTATATATACATGCATATATACATACATACATACCAATAGATACATACATATACGCTATAAACTATATATAATATATATACTATACATAGTATATAGTATATATATTAATTTCCATATATATACACATACAATATATCATTTTATAGAAATTGTTTGTTGATGTATCTATAACAAATAAATAATAAACAATTTGTTTTTATAGAGAAAACATTTCTGCTGGTCCTGCGTTAGATCAGTTATTGGAAATATTAATATTAGTAATATCAGCACCTACTAGCGCATTCAAAGCATTTATTCCTTCAGTAACCAATTTATGTTTGGGTCAAGTATGGCCTGCTGTTGGAAATGATCTCAGTGCTTATCCTGATACTACGATTGTTTTATTAAAACTTTTTTATAGGTAATTATACTAACAAATATTTTTATATTTGTACTATTATTTTATATTTATTATTTATTATAAATGTTGATATAATAAAATAAAATTAATAATACACAAAGAAAGTAATAACAAATAGTTTTATTATGCAGCATTCTTACACATCAATGGCAATACTTTTATAATACATCAGTATTGCGTACACTTGGTCACCCAGACGAGGATGAACCTGTCGAACATAAAGAAGAATTAGTTGCAATTTTGGAAGCTTTTGGCCAAGCTTTATTGCAGCCAGATGTTAATATATTTCGTCAAAGCTTGCAAAGCCTTGAACAATTAAATATTAGATGGCGATTATATCAAAGATCCATATTTAAAGTCCACCTACTTGAAAGATTCTTAATGGCCCTATTTACTGTCTTGTTTCAACAGTAAGTGTGCTTAATAATAACTAAATTATATATAACTATCATTTAAATTTATTAAATTTAAATATTTTTTTTTAGATCTCACAATCTATTAGCTGATGAAATTGCAGCTGCTGTACATAGTTTAGCATCTGTTAATATAGGATGGTTCTTTCAACATTTTCTTCCTACATTTTTAAGTAGTTGTGAAGGTGTGGATGACATGCAAAGAGCTACATTATTAGATAACTTTGACAAATCCACTGTAAGTAAAATTTAATAAAACCAAAGAAAATTTCAAAATTTTGTATATTTAATATATAAATAAATATTTTAGGACCAACCGACTTTAACAAGATCTGTTCTGCAACTTATTTCTGATTTACGATGTTATCAACTGTGTAGACCAGGTTAAATACATACAAGTATTAAAATGATAACGTAATTGCATTTGATAACATTTTATAAATAGCATTCGAAAAAACATTCTTCCTTAAGACTATTTTCAGTGCCTAGAGATAAATATGAACTTTCTCATTTCACAATAAAAGAAAAAAACATTTTATAATATTTACTACTTTCTGTAAATTACTGCCGTGACTTTATTGTATGTCAAAACTATTGTTATAAATAAAGTTTGTCTTTTTATATGTTATAAATTATGAATTATCTATATTTTAACATAATAGAGAATTACTTAATAAATAATTATAATGCACACTACAAAATATGATTAGTAAAAAAGTCATTATATTATCTTACCATAATGTGTTTTCTTACATATAAGCAATGTGTTAATAACATATAAGCACCGATAAGAGTATGAGTATAAGTATATACAAACATATTCAGTTTAATTTTCTTCTGATAAAGAATGCCACTCAGATAACCCCAGATTTCTACTTTAGTGTATTACATTAATAAATTGATGAGTACAAGAATCAGAAATGTTACATCTGCTGTCGAAAAGTAAAAATATTTCTAGAATAATAATGACAAGATATTTGGTAACTGATCCTAAATATGGATTTTTAAAGGAATTGGGCCTTATTTCTGAAAATCCGGGCTTATTTGATGGACGGTGGGGAGGTTCTGGTAAAGTATGTAAAATAATATAATATATAAACAAATTAGGATTTAGGAATTCATTTTATAAATATATTGCAAAACTATTGTAAATTATGTAATAATGTTTTGTAGATAATTGAATCCATTTCTCCAGCTAATGAAAAAGTTATAGCAAAAGTTCGAGAAGCTACACCTCAGGAAGCCAGCAACGCTGTTACAGAAGCACGAAAAGCATGGCCTCAATGGGTATCTTTGCCAGCACCTACAAGAGGAGAAATAGTGCGACAAATTGGTGTTGAATTAAGAAAATATTTGAAACCTTTAGGACGATTAATATCTTTAGAAATGGGTATAAAAGCAAAAAAGAAAACATGAACAATATATATATATAAAGATATGTTCACAATTTGAATTATATTTAGGCAAAATACTACCAGAAGGTATTGGAGAAGTACAAGAATTTATAGATATATGTGATTATGCAGTTGGATTATCTAGAATGTTGCCTGGTAATATTTTTCCATCCGAGAGGAAAAATCATGCATTATTAGAAAAATGGAATCCATTAGGTGTTATTGGTGTTATATCTGCATTCAATTTTCCAATTGCAGTACGTAGACACGAAATTCGGAATTCCATGTTATTCAATATATGAGTATAATAAAATATTTTAGGTATATGGTTGGAATGCTGCAATAGCAATGGTATGTGGAAATACAATTGTTTGGAAAGGGGCACCCAGCACTCCTCTTGTCTCTATTGCAACTACTAAGATCATTGCTAGTGTTTTAGAAAGAAATGGTATTCCTGGTTCTGTTACATCAATGATAACAGGTGGATCAGAAGTTGGACAGATTTTAGTGAATGATCACCGGTAAGTTGTTTCAAGTACATAAATATTTTTGCATGTATATTATACTCATATATATTTTCAGTATTCCACTTCTCTCTTTTACGGGAAGTACAGCAATAGGAAAACAGATAGCACTTAAAGTACAAGAAAGATTTGGAAGATCTTTATTGGAACTTGGTGGTAATAATGCCTTAATAATTGCACAAGATGCTGATCTGGAAATGGCAATCAGAGCTGCAGTTTTTTCATGTGTGGGAACAACTGGGCAAAGATGTACTACAACAAGAAGATTAATTCTTCATAATAAAATACAAAAGGAATTTACAGGTAAATAGCAAATATACTTTAAGCACTTTTTATAAGATTTTCATCGATTGTAAATTATTACAATGATGTTTTTAGAAAGACTCATAACAGCATATAAGAGCATATTGGAACGTATTGGTGATCCTTTGGATGATGGTACATTGTATGGACCACTGCACAGTGAACAAGCTGTTAATGAATATATGGTATTATAATCAGATTTATAATAATCCTATATGTTTAACAAATTATCATTCATAGATAGCAGTACAAGAAGCAAAAGATAATGGTGGTACAATAGAATTTGGTGGCAAAAGATTGGATCGACCTGGTTTTTATGTTGAACCAACAATAATTTCTGGTTTGTCACCTAAAACAAAGATTATACAAAAAGAAACATTTGCACCAATTGTATATATTTTGGAAGCAAACTCATTAGAGGAAGCAGTAGCACTTAACAATGGTGTAGAACAAGGTTTAAGTAGTTCTCTCTTTACTAAAAATATAGGAAACGTATTTCAGGTAAATGTATATTTTGAGTAATTTTAAATTATCTTAAATTCAGAATCACTTAAAATATTTAATTATTATTTTAAACTTTTAGTGGATTGGACCACATGGTTCAGATTGTGGAATAGTGAATGTCAATATCGGTACCAGTGGTGCTGAAATAGGTGGGGCATTTGGTGGAGAAAAAGCAACAGGAGGAGGCAGGGAAAGTGGAAGTGATGCTTGGAAACATTATATGAGACGTGCAACTGTTACTATCAATTATGGAAATGAACTTCCTCTTGCTCAGGGTATAAAGTTTGAATAGATGAATAAAATTTATTGAAAAATTAATAAATACTCAAGAATTTAATTCAAATCGTATAAAATCTACTTGTATATCAACAGAATTTTTTTTATGAAATTTATATATACGAGGTAAATCATATCTTAACTCAGCAATTACTGTTCCTTTTGCACCAAGTTGTGTAGCTTTGGAAAGAACATAATCTCGTGTACTGGTTTTATGTAAAGAATATACAGCACTGGAAGCTGCTTTAATAGCAATCTCTAAAAATTTTATATCAGTTCCTGCATTTTTTTTAGTTCCAAACGGTGGATTCATAATCACTGTATCAAAGTATTTTTCAAATTTTCCTGCAATTTGTTATATAAATAAAATATCATTTTACTTAATATCTTAGTTACATACAAAAAAAGATACTTTTAATCGTACCTGGTAAATATTGAAATATATCACATTGTATTGATTCAACAAATAAATCCAAATCAATACAATTTCTATACAAGATATTAAGTGCATCGGAATCTATTTCAAATCCCACTACGTGACTTGCGCCAAGCATTTGAGAACCTAATGACAAAACACCACAGCCACATCCAAAATCAGCTACAGCACATCCTTCTATATCATCAAATTGGGACTGAGCAGTATATAACATGCGTGAAGCAATATGTGCACTGGTAGTGTATTGTTCAAGTTTTATCTTTGGTGTTTCAAATCCATCAATCTGCTGTAGATATTCCTCAAGCTTTCGAAGTTGTAAACTAGTCATATTTACCAATTATTGATTTTTTCTTAGCATTTGATTAAAACTTTTTTTAATAGTATTAAAAAAATATCAGAAAAGAAACGAATCTGTTTATATGTCAATGTTTTCATTAATCTATTTTATATACACAGTCTCTTATTAGATGTTAATTGTCACTAAATAAAATGCACCCAAGAATTCATTTAGTATCAAATCTTGGAAGAACTGGTAAAATTAAATTGCCAAAAGAAGAGTCTTGTGTAACAAAGTAACCTGTAGATGCTGCATGTGCATTATGTAGAGCAGCTCTTTGCGATGCACTCATTGCTACTCCATCAGTAGATTGTGTAGTAGGCTAAAAGAAGTATAAGGAGTGCTATAAATGAAAAATGTATGTATTATAATAAAAATATGATTAATTACCACAGTAGATGCAGAGCCAGTAGAAGTAACAGCTAATGATGTATTTAAAGTCGGCGCAACACCTTGTTTCAATAACATTTGTTTCTTTAACTGTAACTCTTCTAAGATTTTTCGGTTTTGCAATTCTACAAACATTATATTATGTTTATATATTATACGTAAATAATATCAACTTAAATTACATACCTCTTGAATTTGGTTGTGAAAAAGCCATCAAACTGCGTTTTTCTATCAAAAAATGCAAATTATCTCGATTATACCATTAAATTTACAAAGTTTACATTATATCAACAAAAACTTGTTACTAGAATTCTTTTCTTGATTGATCTTGTGTTCGTACACAACAATTACATAGGTTATATTTTACATCCAAATATATAATCATAGAATGTTTAAGATTAATGTTGTTCACCCGCTCGAAACATATGTGATTTCAGCGATGGTACGGGAAAAAAATGAAGTAAAAGTGCGTTAGAAGAATTCTATCCCTTCTTTCGATTCGGTATGTATATTTGTAGGTATGCTGTGCCCCTCATACTGTTGGCGCGCATGAATTAAAATGAGATTTGGCTCAAAATTGAGACTTGATTACAATTGTATCTTCGTCATATATCAGGGCATAGCTTCTCTCACAAACATCATTCTGCTAGTTCAATTAAGATAAGTGTACTTAAGAATACTCTTCTATTAAAGACTTATAAATAAAAATAAAATAAGAAGAATATTTAATAGAAGAATATTTAGAAAAGATTCTAAAATGTGGAAGGAAATTGACAACATTAGTGCAATCAAGAATAGAAAAAATCTAAAATCTTTGCATAAAAAATGATTACTGCTGTTTGGTCGAGAGATATCTCTTCCCCGAAAAATCGAAAAAACATAGTGGGGGAAGCAGAAATTAGTATATTAATTGAATATCCTGAACTAAAAATTGATTAATTTATTCTAGTGTCTACAGGCCGTGATTCTACAAGTATCTTTGTTATTTTAACAATGACTCTACTCAACTTTTAAAAACAATAACTTTCCTCGACTTTTCTCTTTCAAAAGCCACCACTCTATTGAGACTTTTTTTTTATTATTAAAAATTGATTAAATATTTAATTAATTTTTATTTAAAAATATAAAGCAAACCTTTGATTATTACAAGCAAATCATGCAATTTTGTTTGTAATCTAAAAATTATTCATCGATTATGTCTTCCTATTCATTTTTTATTAAAATTCGTGAATATCTATGAATATGACAAAGTGCTAATAATTATAATCGCGAAGGAAGAAGATTCTATCCTAATAAATCAAAACGTAAGAGATCATTCATGAGTAAATCTCCGAAAAAAAGTTACTCGTGATCACTCGATGCTCTTCCATTAATTAATTATAATTAATCATCCGTGTCGATTCGACCTCAACATAACTGAGTAATCAGAGGAACTTAAAAATTCACTTACTACTTAAGAAGTTCTGCAATGGCTCCAAAATACTTGTCCAAGATTTAGATCGAAATTGAGGATGATTGATTCTGGATCATTGATAGGTGGTTGAAAATGAAATAGGTCAACATTGAATTTGGTAGAGATGCTCTTCAATAATCCACTGATTCTAATACGCGGTAGATATTTTTTAACGAACGGTCTAAAATTCATTCATGAAACTTTACTGTCTTAATAAATACAATCTGTGCGACAGCTAAAAACCAAAAACTTTAATAACAAACATTGACTCTAACGACTGCATACGAACAAACACTGCTTCTATCTTGGCGATATTTTTATTTTACCGATACAAAAACTCTACTTCATTACTACGCGCACAATTGAAATGAAGTCCTGAAACAAAAAAATTCAAACAAAATAATTAGTATCACTATTATAATAAGAAACAATATAATTTATTCAAAAAATGTATGATATAGAAATATACTCACTTTAATTATTCACTGCTACTAACAGGAGCATAATCCTGAGAGCATAATCCTGAGAGAGCTTCGATGTTTACTCGACGGAATACGAAGGATCCAGTTACAGCGAAGTCAATCAGAGGTTTAATTTTGTTGATATAACACATAGTCAATGACCAAAAGTTCAAAATTTAAATCTAATGCAGAAGAAATTAAAATTATTTTAAGTTTCTCACACGTTACGATCTTTTTAAAGTTTACACGAATTTACTATTTTTTAAATGTTAGTATAAATGTATGTTAAAAATTGCTTAAATAGTTGCAGAATTATGGAAAATATTAATTTATAAGTTTTCACGTTTAAAAAGAGAAAGCTTCATTGTTCATTTGTCGTAATCCAAAAGAAATCTAATTCTGTGATCATCGAAGTTAATAAAAAAATCATCACTTTTATATTGCACAAGGCCAACAATCCCGAGATAAAAATTTAATATATTGGAATTTTAAATTAAAATTATTTTAAGTTTCTCATGAATTACGATCTTTATAATGTTTAAATGAATATATTATTGTTTAAATATTAGTTCATTCTATTCCGCGTACATTATATATTATTTAAATAATTATAAAATTACTAAAAGTATAAATTATATGAAAGTATAATTAAGTTTAGCTGTATGGAGAGAAAGAATTTTTTATATTTACTCCACAGAATTTAACTTACATGGAAAAAGGGAACGGATATGTTTACTAGTCGAAATACAGAAGATAACTAACTCGAAAACTGACATTGATATAATTGTTTTGTTTATAGCACTTAACTGTAACAATTTAAATTTGAAAATTTTTATCTAACGATTGCACATATGAGTAAAATTAGATTATTTAGTTTTAAAGCAGTGAGTTATTAATTTTATAATGTTAATCGCTTCGTATTTTTTACCAAAATTATCGAAAACGCAATTTGTTAAGAATTCGCGCGTAAAACCATAACAAGAATGATACAATATTAGTAATTAATTAAATATTTCTATTCAGATGTCGCGTCGAATGTGTTGAACGCTTCATCTTAATCTATATCTGCGCCACCTAGCAGTAAACTGGAGAAAATTTCAGCATATCACTATTGGCCTTTAATTCAATTGACAATTACGATTGGAATATTTAATTATCAATTACAATTAACAATTAAATTTTTAGTTACATCAATATTAATCACATGATATGCTTAACTTAGTTGTATAATTCTTAGTTAGACTAACGTTTAACAATAATTGAATTTTTTATTGTCGTGAAATTAATGTTTATTTTTTTATATTTCTTTTTTGTTTTCTTATAGTATAACTTAAAAATTGATTAAAACGATAAATGAAATGAAAATAATTATATAAAATAGTCTACCAATGATTGATTTATGGCATAATACGGAGTAACTAGTGCATTGACAAATCTCTTCATAGACACGTAATGATTCATTGACGAACTATCTCTTAGATATTTGTAAATGACTTCAACTTTACAACGAATGCCGCTAGAGAGTGTCGTTTTTATGGTTTGTGAATATTATATGATAATATTTTGCGTTTTAGCATGTATTTAATAAGACAATGACAAAGTGTCATAATTCAATAAAAGGCATAATTTATAATTAAAGGAAATCAATTCTGGTTATATTGTAGCATTTGTTAAGTGCATGTGATTAGATAAGACGGTATAGTGGAAAGACTTAAGAATCTTATGTGTTAAAAAAAAAGAGGTTTTGATATATAAAATAATGATATATAATATATAAAAAACAAAAAATAGTAAAAAATAATAAAATTTTTTACCTGCTTAGACATAATGGTTGTTAGTCCAGAGTTGCCACCTGTTCCAGCACCTTTAAAAAACATTCAACAATATTTAAAAGTTGCTTCGACACATGATCAACGAGATTGTGTTGTCAGTTATTGGTGTGGGTATTAGTCATTTTATTGTAATAAATTGTTAATTATATTAAAGCTTGTATTGTGGCTTTTCTTACAGGTCGTCTTTATGCTCTTCAAACTGGTTTAAAATTGTCAACCAAAACTGGCGAAGAAACAAGTTTTTTAGTGAAATTGATGAATTGGTTGGAAACAACCAAAAAAGAATTACATGATAATGAAGCTATTACCAATGATGTAGCTGCACAGGCACATTTAGAAAATTGGGCATTGAAGCTTTTTTTATATGCAGATAAAAGTGATAGGGCTTCAAATTTTGGAAAAAATGTTATACAAACGTTTTATACTGCAGGATTACTTTATGATGTTTTAACAGTATTTGGAGAGCTTACAGATGAGGCGGCACAAAACAGAAAATATGCCAAATGGAAAGCTACTTATTTACACAACTGTATAAAGAATGGTGAAACTCCTATACCAGGACCAATAAAAGATGAAGATGAAGAAGATAATATAAATGAATTTTCAGATAAAGGTTTACTAATGTATTTTAATATTGCATGTTATTTGTATTATTATAAATATATCGTTAATCTGTATTTTTATAAGAATTTTTATTACAATATTCTTTGTATAACCATTACCTTCAATTACAACAATGAAGATGTTTAATTTTCATGAAATTTCAGCTAATTCTAATTCACATAGTAATATACCCGATGATGAAGACAATACCTCAAACTTGGATGCTTCTAGTCCAACTAATGTCAACATATTCAATCCTATACCTACTGGATCAGAAAATGAAGGTGATGGAAAGACTACATATAATCTTCCAGATTTAAAAACTATAAAAGTAGATGGTAAGATGAACTAATTATATATTGTAGTCTTAAGAACATTTTTAATGACAATATATTCTACAAATAACATGCCCATAGGTGGAATTACATTATCAACAGAACAGGTAACTAAAGCTCAAAAATATATTAAGTGGGCTGGAAGTGCTTTAAATTATGATGATGTACCTACTTCAGTTTTAAATCTTCAAAAGGCAATACATCTGTTAACAACTGGTCAAGACCCAGCTTAATTACAAGTGCCTAATAATCTATTAGGTTCTAATGTATAGATATTTAATTTATAATTTTAATATATGAATTCTCTCCTTGCTTATTAATGTTACAAAATATAAATTGCAATGTAATGTTAAATAGTTGTAGAAAGACTAAACAAATTATTACCATTAATTGATTAAGAATATCTTTCTATATAAATGTAATTTATGATTTCATTGTTTAAATAAATAAATCGCATCACATTACTGCTTTAAAAACACAATAAGAATATGCAGTAAAATGAACAAGTATAAATATTGGCTGATATGTATAGATAAAATGAATATATTCATACTTTTAATTTTATATTAAAGATTATTATTTTAAAAGCATTTTACATTTGCATTGTCTGTAACTCTCGTGCATTCATGTTTTGAAAATATAAAATGCATAACCACAAACAGACAATTTTTTAAATATATATTATATTATGTGAAAATTTTTCCTATGAAGATTATTAGTGTTCTTTACATAATTGTAAATTTTATATTGCATGTTTGAGCGATAAAAGATTATATTATATTATTATTTTTTTATCTATTACAGTTTCAGTCCTTTTATTTCCAAATTACTATATCATAAAACGTAATCATGTTATGAGATTCTATAAATAAACTTATATATATATATATATATATATATATATATATATTTAATTTTATATATATATATAAAATTTTTTTCCTTAATTTAACAAATATTCATAGCTACTTTCATATAGAATTTATGTAAAATTATGCTGCAAATTTCATTACATACTATTAAATATAGATCGTAGAATATTTCTTGACATGTTTACATTTCTTTTTGTGTATAATTGTTTCAAATTATTATTATTTATATATATTTCATATACATATATTTAAACATGTCTGTCTTGTTTTTGCTTGTTAGCATTTTTATTCATTTTGCTTTCAAGTAAGATATTTATACAGTACATGTACAATAAGTTAAGACCACAAAATTGGCCCCATTATAATTAGCATGCTCCTTTTCATAAATATTTACATTGTACTTATCTAGTTATATCAGAAAAGATAAATCTACAAAGCACATGACGTAGGATTCAAAAAATGAAATTAATTTCTTTTGATTTCATTGGTATGAATTTTGTTAAAACACTTTGTATATTTAAATATTTATGATATCATACAAATAGTAATTTTATAAACACACAGATAATCACAATCTTTTTGCAATAATGATTAGAGTCCTTCCAAAATGTGTTTACAAAAGTGTACTGCGATTTTTTTTTCTTAAATGTAACTTCTGGTGGAACGTAGTATTGCTTATGACTCTACATATTTGTAAAATAAATTCAATACATACATACATACATATACATATATATATATATATATATACATATATATATATATATATATATATATATATATATATATATATATATAGTAGGTATGTATATCTTAAATCATGCAATTGATATTTATGTAGAGTATAGCAAATTTATATGTATATACACACATTCAGTTACGATATTAAGGAGAACACATTTCTTTTCTGTGGCAGTTAATTGTACTTAACTAATATTCATATTCATTGTTGGACAATGTAAATGAAGAAATGGTGGGTATCAGATTAATTTCTAATATAGAAGTATTCTAATGTCATGTAATCGATGGAACAAAATTTACTTAACTCTCATCTTATTAATGTATTGCAGACTTTGGTAAATATATTTTTAATAAACTCCTTATATCTCATGCTTAATGTAAATATTTCACATAATTTAGGAGCACGAATATGGACCTGCTAACACATTGTGTTTCATTTCTGAATAGCAATATCGACCCAAACAATTATGATGTGGATCTGGAAATTTTCATTTACATGCAAAAATGTGGATAAGATATTGCTCATTTTATGTTGTCGGACGTATTCGAGTCTATACTAAAAAGTATGTAGCATTTTCGTATATTCTCATCGAAAATATTCTATCCTGTCCATAAACGGAAGGAATACTAGAAATAAATGTTTAACATCCATCTAGTTTTGTTCGCACGATTAGTGTAATTTATCTTTAGAGTTTATATTTCCTTCTCTCGACAGAATTCTGTTTTGACCTACGATTTGCTTTGCAAAATGTGTAAAAGAGATACGCTCGCCAGATCTTCAAATAAATAGATTCAGTCTTGTTTTCTAGTTTTCTCATCTACTCCATTAGCTGCAACTGGTTGTGCATCTTCCCGTCGTAATTGCCAATCTATTACCAATCGACCAGTCAGCATAAAGAAGAATACCTAAAAAAGAAAAGAAAAAAAACAAAGACACGTTTAATTTAAAGAGATTAATGTTATTTCATGACTTTTAATAAAACGTTCAAAACATACGTACCAAAGCCGGCGCGATTCTTTCAAATCTATCATTTACCATATAATGAGAATATACGGCCATTAGCATCAAAAAGAGCAATATCGCATTGGACAAATTTTTTATCTTATCTATAAAAAATTATTACATTATTATCATTAAATAAATTCTTAATACATTAAGAATAATAAAACTTATTACATTAATTTCATTAAGTTAGTTTTATATATATATATATATATATATATATATATATATATATATATATACTTACGATTTGGAATTATTGCCATGGCAAGACCGCAGATGATTTCGAGCGAGCCAACCACTCTTCTATACCATTTGCTCGGAACTTTGAAATCCAACGTGGTAGATAATGGAAATACTTTTGCATATTTGACATATTCTTTTCTCTGAAAAAAAATGAGAATACATATGTATGTATATATATAGATACATTTATATATATATATATATATATATATATATATATAAATACATATATACATATGTATATTAAATTATCATATATCAAAAGGGTGATTATTTTTCTATGTAATTATATTTCTCAATTAGTTTAGCCCAGACTAATTTATTATTAATGATTAGGTTAAGTGAATAAATGGTAAATATCGAGAATTTAGCGAATAGATATTTGGCATAGACTCAACTAACTGCTTTGGACAGCTGCTTTTGTAAGATAATAGCATATACATTAACGACTACGACGAGGATGGTCCAGCAGCAAAAATAGAAGCGAAAACACCTTGAATGCAAAAATTACATTGAGCTTCGTGCTTCGTCTAAAGCGTTGATGTTATTTTATTGTTTTTTGATTAATAATATATATCTATTTAAATCATATACAAATATTAAGTATACATGCATGTATAAAATAATAAGTCGAACAAATCCAAGAAAAAAGAATACCTTCAATTCAGACTAATATAAAACTTGAAATTTGTCTTTGAAACCTTTGTACATATCATATAGGCAAAATTAACTCATATTACTTGCTTTCTTAACATCATCCGAGAATATTAGAAAGAAGATTTAAATTTCTTCATTAAAAGGCGCGTATACTGAAAGACTTCTTAATGCGCTTGTTACTCCATCTTTTCGGCGTACAAACGAACTAAAATATTAGATTTACATTCGTCTGCTATCCTGATACATCATAATACTTTGTAAATTATAAAAATAATTGTTTCAAATAAATATGAACAATGAATTAGCTGCAGATCATTCTATTTTTACAAGTATTTAAATAATCATATACTTTTTTATTTATAATCATATTACTTATGGCATATAAAGTATTTCGTTAAATTAATTACCAGTATTACTTGAACTACTTAAAAAAAATAAAAAAAATAAAAAAAAAACTGAAAACTTAAGAAAAAACTTATGAAACTTATGAAATTTAATATTTAAAGTCGTCCAATAAAGAAAAGAAAATTTATTATAAAATTTATATCTTAAGATATAACTGTTCTCGTTAGGATTTCGTTAGAAAATATATTTACTTGCATGCTCGTTATATTTCGTAATTCGTAACCGAAAACGGATGCGCAACTCCTACCACATTTTCAACGAGCGGCCAAATTCACATGCACAAATGAACGAATTAATGGACTACTAGCGACAGACAGAGGATATAAAAATAGATCAGCAAATTTCGATCCATCGTACTGAGTGTAACACGCGCTACAAACGAATCGATCCCGCCTACATTATCAGACAATTCTGAGAGAAACTGCGCACGCTTCCCCGATTCTTGAAGAAGAGAACAAGAAAGAGAATCATGGATGACAAAACTAATATTTAATATTACGCAACGTTTGCTTGGGGATTACAACGAAAGGAGTAGAAAGTATAGGAAGAAATAAGGGGAAAAAGAATAAAAATGCATATGTTGTCTTTTCTCTGTTTGAACCATCCCCGTTCATTCTATTTATCATAGCCGTCAAGATAGAAACGGAATTACATAATATTAGTTGAGCTTTTATAATAATCAATGTAAAAAAGAAAAATGAGGGTTTGACTTGTACGGACTTACCAGGTCTTTATGCAGATCTTTGCTAATATGGGACGTTAATTTCATTGTACCAACAAAAACGAAGAATATACCGAGTAACACGGAAAGGGATTTCAATACTATGGATCCCATATTCTTTTTTTATTTAAAATTTTTATGACTATACCAGGATTAATTTGAATAAAAGCGAATGTTAAATAGTATGTAAAAAGAATCGATTAAAAAATAGGAAAGGCCCGATCGATTGTCGGTCACACCACCTTGTTTTCGAGTCTATACTCTTTCTCTCTTTTTATCCTTTTTCACTTGAAACAGACTTACACTTATTAAACAACTTGTTTCTCGAGTGAATACATTTTTTTTAATTGTTTATACAAGTTATGATATCACGAGTATTTCACCAACATTTCTCAAAAATAACCACGACGACAACGACGACAGCAACGGACGCGCTCGCATTGACAACATCTATGTCTCCTTTCCCTCTCTGTCGTATTGCAAGTCGCGACAGCGCATTTTACCGCGACGCTGCCGACACACCGACGCTATGCGTCACGTGACGTCATAGCCCGCCTTGATTTTAGGATACACGCATTCATGTGACCGTTCTAGGGTAGTCAAAGATACATATTATATAAATATTAACGAACATCTCTTTTATATTAGAGAAGTTATCAACAAGTTTTTTAGATTTCATTTTCATTGCAACAGATCATTAAATAATACATATATATATACAACATATATATATCTATACGACTTATAGGTATAATCATTCGAAACAAGTAAGCAGGTCTTCGAAAAATATAATAATTCGTACATTTCAAAGCTTTAATTTTTTAAATTACAATAAACATTAAGTAGTATATAATTTTGTATTTACATTTTATTTGTTATACATCACTCCAATTATCAGACTATACTTTATTCTATCTAGTCCATTTTCATGTCAGGATTAGATCCTTCTGAAATTAAACGTATACAATACGTACTTAAGAATATTATGTTTTAATAATAAGAAAAATATTATCATTTAAAATTACCATATCACGTTCATACACTCCAGTGACTTTTGAAATTAATACTATGTCCAAATATATTTTTAATCAGGCGTATGCGGTGGTTCTTGACTAAAATACGGTGCAGTATCTTGCACTAACAAAGTATGACAAACATCACAGACTCTGGATGGTCTTTGCTTAGGACCACTATTCACAACGCGCGAAAGACAAGACTGACAAAATATATGGCCGCAATGACGACAGTGTACCTACATACATACATACATACATATATATATATATATATACATATATACACAATTTTAGTATTCAAACTAATAATGGCACTTAAAAAATATCATTGTATGTTCACCTTTTTCTTTGTAACTGTGAAAGTAACATGACAAGATGGACATTCATCAACATCTTCTTCATGTTGCCATCTAACCTCACTCCCAGCTTGCCTAATTCTTTCTAATTGCACCTATATCGTGATTAAACATAATGCAATATAGAATTTATACGAAAATTTATTCCATTATGTATAGATATATTTTTATACCTGTAACGATTGTGACAATCGTACAAAATCCTTTTGAACTGTTTCACTAGTATCCAATTCCTGTTGCAAGCTCGTGACTCTCTGTTTTAATTCAGTCATAGCTAAATCAGCTTTTTCCTTCTCTCTTAATACCTCTTCATATTTTTTTTCTATCTGATCAAGTTTCTCCTCTTTTTCTGTAAATGACCGTTGGTCTCTTGCGTATTTGTCAAGTTGAAGCCTATACATTTACATTACTGATTAAACTATGATATCCATTTTCATAATCATGAACAATTTTTACTCGTATCTATATAACTGTTATGAGAAAATATACCTACTTAAATTCACTGATGTCATTTTTTAACATTAAAACCTGTTGTTCTTTAGCAGCACTTTCTCGCACCATTTCTTCTCTGAGAAGATTAACTTCGGACCTTAATGTTCTTTCATTCTCTTCTGCAACTTCCTGAGCCACTCTAGCCATTATCAAGTCTTCGTGAGTTTTTAATAGACTTAAATGTAAATCCTCTACATTATTTGGCATATTGATGCTTTCACTTTGCAGTTGGTGAGAATGTTTACTATGTTTTCCCATAAGATTCTCATTTTGTTTCTGCAGCCTGAAAAGATTTAACTGAATTCTCAATAAAGAGTTTTTGATGGTTGACACATTAACACAGGCATTTATTTATTAGCCTTGAATATTTAAATGGATATTAAATGGGAAGACTAAATTTAATGCTAAAAATAATCTTACGCGAGAAGATGTTTTTGAACTTCCTCTCGTTCTCGAGTTAATCTAGACAGCTCGTCAGTAATGGTTCGTTGAATATGTTCAAAGTTTTTCTTTATCTCCAATAGCGTTTTTTGAGCTGTTTGTGAAATATCTGTAAGCTCTGCTACTTTGATTTTATGCTCCTCCTTTTTTTCATTCCATTTTTGTTCCATTTCATGTCGAAATTCTACTTCTTTTGCTAAATCATCTTTCTGTACATTTAACATTCTTTCAGAATCAACTAACTGTTTTTCTAGATCTTTGACATTTTCCTGAATTTTAACAAGTTGCGCCTCATAATTACGGCACATATCACATGCCTCTTGAGAACTTCCAGATTCTTGTTGTTTCTTTAGCAATTGTCCTTCCTTACACTTCTGTAATTCATCATCTGTTGTTCTTAATTTTTCTTTTAAAGCCTTAATTTCATGTTCAAGTGGTACTACTAGTGATCTTAACACTTCTGCATCTTCTTGTGCCTATAGTATATTAATTTCATAAAATATTATTACTGAATTAACAGTATTATGAAGATGATAATTATATAGTTAAAAGTAAAAATTCCCTAATACAGTTCCTATACTATACTGTAGTAGAAAATGAGATAAAAATTTTTCGAATGCGCTTACTTACGGATTTACCTTGCGCATGTTTTCCTCAAGATTATCTGGGCCCAAAGATAAAGCATCTGCTCCTAGTTGCGATGCAACCTTACGAGCTAATGTTTTAGTAACAGTTGACAATGATATTTGGGGTCCATCTAATTGTGGCTCGCGCGGTAATTGTGACTTTAACATTACATTTTCTTCTTGTAGCTTTGCAAGCGATAACTTTAATTTTGATATTTCTGTATCCTGTCGTTTACGCACACAGGATGATTCTTCAACAGTTTCATGAATAACTTGTTGCAATGATGCTATTTCTTCTTGTGCTTTCTGCCTTTCAATCAAAATATCATTTTGTATTTTTAAATCTGCAACTACTAATTGGCTTTTTGCTTCATCCAATTCATTTTTTAATTCTAAATTTTCATCTTGCAAGCTTATGTTATCTTCTAATCTTCTCTTTAATTCTTCTACGAATATATCCGAGTTAGTATATTTAAGTTAAAATTCTAAATATTTTTAACTTAATAATATCTATTGTTCTTGAAAATTATTTCTTAACATACCTTCTTTTTGAAGAAATAATTCTTTCATCTTTGCTCTTTGCATATTAAACTCTTCTCTCATTTTAGTATTTTCTGTTTCCAAACAACTGATCTTTTTTTCTAGAGTCTCTGAATTATAGCAAATAAAATTTTTATAAAGAAAATATATAGAATATAATATAAAAAAAAAGAAAAAAGGTTAATGCTTTTCACTTTAAACTTATACAATCAAAGGTTTCGTAGGTAAGGCTTACTTTATTTAGATTATTGCGATTTAATATCATAAGAAAAATATGTACATAATAAATGATCAGATTTATATTATTACATTTGACATACCTTCTCCGTCTGTCTCTACTACATGACTTTCCTGCGAGTGATTCTCCATCGTGTAATAATTTACCGCAGACGCATGTAATTTTTTCAATGATTCTACTACAATTTATGCGATATATAGAAGCGTATATCACAGTAACCTATCCACAAACTTTTTAACTTAAACATGGTACGTACGTTCGTCAAACCGGATAAACTATAATAGAACGTTGATATTTTATCTTCGTACAATGACATCAATATAAACCAATGTATGAAAGTACCTGGATTAAAACATCTGTTATGTGGTACAACTTAATCGTATAGAATAGTATAGAATCTTTGTCAACAACATTTGTAAACTAGATTTCACTTCAAAAAAATACGTACTATTAGATTTACACAATGATAAGTATCTTCTTATGTCGAGCGTCGCGCATTTGACGATGACGACGATTATTTTATCATAAAAGTATAGCAAGGCGCATGTCACGACAGTAGCGTCGCCGCTGCAAATATTGTCTACGCAAAACACTTGAATTTGTCACGAATCGATTTGAAACGCGCCAATTGGGAAACGTTTTAAATGATAATCATTATCTGATTGGTGCATTTCGAATTGATGATTGCCAACGAAGATTTGAAGCATCTTGACTAATCTTAACCAATTAATTATATACATGTATATATATATATGTATATATATATGTATATATATATATATATACATGTATATATATATATGTATATATATATGTATATATATATATATATACATGTATATATATATATGTATATATATATGTATATATATATATATATACATGTATATATATATATGTACATATATATATTCATAGTATATATATACATAACATATATATATATATACATAGAGATATATATATATATATATACAGTTTTATATTTTTTAATTTAATGATTACGTAGTCTAACACATGTGATGGTTATATCCTACATTATATAGTTTTTTTGTATGGATTGGTGGCTTTGTGTAAATTTTGGATTATATGAATAAATAAACATATATATATATACTTTCGCTGAAATATTATTTAGTTATTGGTACAAATTATGATAGAAAACATTTACATGTGTTATGCAAATCAATGTACGAAAAAATAAACTTTAAATATACTTTTTTATTATGATTGTTCCTCACCCAATGTAATTTTAGCTGTTGCTTGATAATAATTTGTTTCAGTAGCAGTTTTAAGTTGTGACAAGTGAATTTCTTTTAAAACTGTTTTACCAAATAATGTATCTTTATATTCCTATAATAAAAATATTAGTCTTCATAACTTTCGAAATCATAAAATACACGTCAAATAGATATATGCTCTTACATTTAAAATTTGTGTAGCATCAAATTTTTTGTTAATATTTTTATCTGTTATTGTTACTTCGTTATCATTCTTTCTATAGGCTATATTCATGAATGTAGTGTGTAATTTAACATCGTTTGTTCTGTTTGGCATTAAGTCTGTAAAATAATATTTTCTAATTCTTGTATTTTTAACACATATAAAAATACACTATATGCAATATTAATTCACTTACCCTTTTCTGCAAAATAATCTACTATTTGATTAGACAATTCTTGTAATACATCATTTTCTGTAAATACTGTTCCATAAAGAATTTTAACAGCATCTGGATTATCATTCATAGATTGAACACCTTTTATTACTATAGTAAATAAACCATGTTTCT